AAGGATACAAGACAAGTCATGCACCCTGGTGAAAGATAGAAGATAGTGTTTACGCGGTAATAAGAGGAACTTGTGATTTTATACAAGTCTATCTTCTTTAGAACGATTTCATAATATAGGACGAAGAAAGACCAAACAATAATCCACTAAATGAATATTATAATCGTTTAGCTACCGCAAAATAAAAGGAAAGCGTTAAATAGTTCTTTGTGAGTACATTCCAAGTCAAAATGATGAAGTTCATCTAATTTGAAGATAAGACAGACATGAATGTATAAAAGTCTGAAGAGAAGTGTGAATTGAGGTCAAATGATGGAACTAAATTAACAATCTTTCAACAACTAATTGAACTTAAGAACTTTATTAAACTAATTAAATGTTAGAGGTAGAACAAGGAAAGGACATGAAAAAAATGCCATAAAATACAAGGAAAAGACATGGGCGCCAAACGAGATCCATTAAAGGTAGTTCCTCAAATACCTTAATAATTTGAAATAGATGAGAAAACGCTCTACAAAATTTCGAAAACAGAAAATTTCCTTCCTTAAAGCTGAACTATCCAGGAAAGCTAATAGATCTACTGCACATTTAGCGAATGTTCGAAATTATTATTAGATTTTTGAATATATTAACAATCGTAAACATATAACAAACGCAACCACTAACTGTGAACTTGTTTATTTATACTTTTGGACTATTTACGCGCAGCGCATAAAATAATTTCATCCTTCAAGATTTCGATATTTCACCCATCAGAATTTTGATAGTAGAAATCTCAAAAATCGATTACAATCTTCGCAGTCGTAGAATACTTTAAATTTTGGCCGATTAGTTCTCACATTCCAAGAAATTCGACATTACATCATCTCACATTTTTCAAATTTCTTTCATGACAATGTGACAACTTTGCATAATTTTTCTGTTAATCCCATCCTAGATAACGCCCTTCACAGCGATATCTACATCAAATTGGAGGGTGACTATATGAAAGTATCAAGTTTAGCTTATATAACAAGACAGATAGTTACAATTTCAGACACTAGGTGTCTTATTTGGATGTCCAAGTTATTAAGGTGTAAACTATTTAGTGCTTTGATGCTCTCTTTAAAATATAGAGAAACTGCTCCTGTTATCTGGAATTTAAAGAGAGTAATTTAAAGTTGATTGTTTCTAAGTAATGGATGAAAACAAGGTAATTTCATCACATCTATACCTTGCATTCTATATGAACATTCATATGAGGTAAGTATGAATCCTCTCCCCTCAGATATCCACTTTCCAGTTGTGCATGAAGTGCAGAATACGTGACCGGATGACAACATCTGACATAGAATAGGCGGGAAAGTCCCATAAAAGAGAGCTTAGATAAAGTAGCTAACACTACAAAAATTGATATACAACCGGTCATCACTGTGTTGGCTAATTCACATAGCATTCTTTGTTCCTCCTCCTCTTAAGTTCCGGTTGAACATTTCTTCCACCATATAAAAACGTATATTACTTCGATTTTTGCAAGCTTGGAACTGCTGATGATAGGTTGCAGGACCGGAAGCACTGAAGGAAGTCTCACTAGCGGTCTAGGCTTTACCCAAAACCATGTTTGTAAAGACTCATTAAGCAACATCTCATTGACTTAGCATGTCACTTTCATAGTACTTTTTACTCCGTCTCTTTTATATTTTATTTC